TTTAGCTTTGTAAACATTTAGCTTGACCACAACTCACCAGACAATGTGGGGGTAGGGTGGGGGTGGGGTGGGGTGGGGGTGGTAGTGATAGTGACAGAGAGAAAGAGAGGGGACTGCAAGGAGGCGCTTGCAGCTTGTTTTCTAACGGCTCCCAGAAGAGAATTATATATATAGATAGATTATTTTCAAAACTAATTAAAATTATTATAAAGAAAAACAACTTTAAACAGGATAAAAACACTAATCAGAGAACAATGAGAGTAGGTGAGGTAGAAAGTATACGGACAGCTGACAGCCGCTTGGGCACCAGCCCCAGCCCCACAATCGTGCTGTAGCCAGCCCCGTGGCGACGGTTCCATTCTTGCCACTGCCGACTTTTTCGAATATCGTTAAATGTGGAATACTATTTTTTTTAATTCAGAATGCATTTCTCTATCGGTAAGTATGCAATTATTTGACCCGAGTGACGTGTTTTTTAAAGTTAATAACTTCCTACGGTTGAGCCGGTGGGGTACGAGTTTACCCTGCGTTCAGTGAGGCGGAAGAAAAGCATGGTGAGAACCGAAGGACAGAAGCGACCGATTCCCAAGCCAGTAGTCGGAGTTGACCGTGTTCATGACTATCTGGCTATGGGAGACACCACCTGATGTCCGTAAAGAAAGAAAACAAGTTATTGGCTTCTAAAGTGGATTTTGATAGTTGTATAGTTTTTTTATTTGATTACTAATTTTATCATATCAGAGCTAGGTAAAATACTTTAATATGTTTTGTGCGAAATATTAGTATACTTTTTAAGCATAAATATTCTTTCATATTTAAAGCTATTTATTTTAAATCAAAATTCAAAAGTATATATCTAATCCTAATCAAATGCCAAAATATTTGAACAAAAATGTTAATGGCTCTTTAATATCTGGGAACTTACGTAAATTGTAACTTTTGGTTCTTCCGGCCTAAAAGGTTGCCGAACCCCGGTAACCTCACTCAAAGGTTTGTTTTTATTTATTTATTTTAATTTTTTTTATTTTTTGAATAATTAAGAGAATACTAAATTAGGACCTTGAAATACCATACAATTTGCAAACTATTGGGTCAACAAAACAAAAGCTTGTAAAGACTATGGTCTTCTTTTTAAAACTAGTATGAAAGAATAATTTTTTTAAAATGATAATAATTATTCACATTAAACAGTATGTATCAAAATTATTACTAGCAAAAAACTAATTTTTCCAATTTCTGTTTTGATACTAATAAGTATTTATTTTTATTATTTTCATCTTTCGAGAACATGAGTATTGGTTGTTTCCCTTTATCATAATTCATTTTATATAGCTGACACGTCCCAAATAGCTGAGATAAAAAAAATACTTAAAAAAAACTTTTTAAAAAACCACGTTTTTCTTGTGGACTAAAAAGTAGAAAATAACTATTTACATACATTTGATGACAAAAAACGTGGGTACGTTCACCATCAAATTTCCCGACCCATCTGCCCGACCCACGTTTTTTGTCATCAAATGTATGTAAATAGTTATTTTCTACTTTTTAGTCCACAAGAAAAACGTGGTTTTTTAAAAAGTTTTTTTTAAGTATTTTATTTTCTCCTTTTTAGTCCGTTGCTACACATGAAAAACGTGGTTTTTAAAAAAAGTTTTTAATATAGTTTATTTTCTACTTTATCCAATGACTTGATTAAGTATGACTTGACTAAGTGTTTATAAATACACGGACTAAAAATCTTGAGCGACCAGGATTCGAACCTGGGTTGTCGCGGCCACAACGCGAAGTACTAACCACTATACGATCACGGCCAGCGCGCTCACATCGATTGGGGCCGAAGTAACTGTGTCAATAGGCCTAAAGTCTTGTCGGTATCTTTAGAAATCATGTCCTCAATTTTATGGTCCTTGGGGCGTAATTAAATTAAGCTAATTACGGTCACTAATTGCTAGTTTTTATGATTGCATCTGAAATTGTTAGGCGAAAGTAGCATGCATGCCAAATTTCAGGTCGCTAGAGCAATCAGAAGTGGGCTAATTTTCGATGTCAATTTTAACAACAAACATCCAAACAAACAAACGCGAAGCTGAGTTAAGAAAAACGTTTTAAAAACGTGTTAAAAAATGAGTTTAATCTAACTTGCGTATACTATTTTTTTTTTTTTAAATGCCTGCGCCATAAGTTGTTAAGTAATCATATTAGACCAGCTTTAAACATCACTTCTGTGTGAAATGCCGTTAAAATAAACGCACCACCGGGTATCCGTTTGCGCTATTAGTTTTTCCAAGATACCTAATTTAAATAATAACAACGATTGGTTAGATATATAGTTATATACATGTAAACAATGTCGCCACAACATTTCTTGAATCTTAATATTGTCAACACTAGCGCCCAAACACCCCAGGTTGTGATGTATGATAACCTTGAGTGTATACTGAACACCCTCCACAAGAGTGGGGTAGAACATCCCTAGGGTCTAGGTCATCGAATGTAATAGGCCATCGTATCCATAGTGTAGGCCGCTCTGCTAGACAAGCGTCGGCCTTATAGTGTTTTAGGGGAGCCCCTTGGAGTTACGGGTCACTTAACTGCATGATGACGCCCTTAACTCAGTTTGACCGTTGATTCAAGCAGTACCCCTGACTCTATTTGTTAAGATAACTCGGGGTACTGCAATACCTTGCAATGCCCCTTCTAGGTACCGCCCTTTTGATATTTGATTTTTTTATGGAAGAAACCTGACCTAGAGTGTACACAACACACTCACGTAGTTGTATGGATATGAGGTGAGTAATGCAGTGATAAATAACAGATAGACACAAAGATAGGCATACTTTAATATAGAAATAAGTATATACGAGCCGGCCCGCGGCATAACATACGCCGCTATTTAGTTGTTTCTAATTTTCAATAATTCATAATTTGTGAATTCGACAGTACAAACGCTGACACTGAAAATATTTCTTTAAAACACTATAAGTAGCTCGTTAAGGACCATAACCCCCCCCCCCCCCCTTCCTTCCCTGTCTTGTGTAAAGTATGGTGGTACTCTACCAATCAAAGGCAGTACTCCAGGCTTTTATATACTGATTTTTGTGTATCAATACGTTTTATGACAAAGATTATTGACACGTATATCGAAAATGAATAATCGATCATTCATCCTTGGCAATAGATTTAGTTCAAGTTTCTGATTGATTAATGTTACAACAGATCGAAGACATCCTGATCAACCAGTGCAATCATCGAACACAAAACACTCGCCACATTTTCTCCTAGACATTTCGAACAAACCTATTGTCACCGCCTCACCCCAAACACCCACAGCACACCTGAAAATACAGAACACTAATTGAACTTAACTGAACCTTCCTTAAACGTAAACAAGAATACCTGGATATAATGAACAATTCGAATGTACTGTGAACCCCCCTCCCCCACCCCGACCTCCATATCTTCACCAGAGTACATCAACAGACTAAACAACGCTAATGTTATTTTATTATCTTTAACCTTTTCCCTGTCTATTTTATTGCGGATTTTAATTGCAGCTTGCAGGGGTGACGTATGCCAGGGGCCGACGTATCAGATGGGATATTGGTTTTATGGCTGCAGCTATTGATGGTCTGGCTGCTATTGCAGGTTAACCACTCAACCACAACTTGTGTGATTGACATTTTCTTGATCCTAAACCTTACCTTATCCATACTTATAACTTTAGATGTAGACTTAAATTAGCGAGGTTAACTTTTTCTTGATCCTAAACCTGACCTTATAACCTTGAACCAGCGTCAAGTATCCTGTGGATCAAGTGCCATAAGCGAATCATTAAGTTACTACATTCGTTTTTTTTAAAGCTTTCATTTAGCTTATGATTGTCCGAATGTGGGCTGTGACGGGAACAGGGCATTTCCCCCTTGTCAATTACCCCCCCCCCCGGACATCCCCCCGACATTACCCCCCCCCCCCCCTTATTTTTAACTCACTTAAAATATATTTAAATTTTCGACCAAATCTTTTAATTTAAGAAGTCAAGTTTGTTTTATTTTCTTATTTTCAGCTCGCTTCATTTAAAAGCTTATTATTATAAAGGTTTTTACAGAAAATTGTTTTTATTTAAAAATTGATTTATTTTCGCCACTCGTAAGATAGTTGGCAATATTACACCGCCCCGAATTAGCTGTAATTTCGTTTTAGCAATGTCGGTTATAAATCGTTAAAATGTTTTTAAGTTTTATAAAAACGCAAGTAGACGCAAATGGCTCTTTACACAAACGGTAATGCTGATCTTCATACTCAACTTTAATTTTTCCTAATCCAGTCCATTGTGACGTGTCGCCATATTCGACCAAGGTGAATAACTGCGGTTTGTTTATGAAGTCTACAATTTTGTGAGAATGAGATTGAATGAGGGAAAATTGGCAGATAACTACAGTTGTTTTAACGTAGTTTTAATAATTTAAAATACAATTTTCAGCACTAGTGTCTCAAGGAATTCAGACATTTTTAGATACATTTATTGTATAACAAAATCTCACAACTAAACAACTATTGACTAGTCTATGGTTGGGGAGAGGACGTAATCAATAGGGCTTGTAAATAGGTCACCAATTTCTTATCATACTAGCCAGCTAGTATTTTTCAAACCAATTGTGAATATGTTTATCAAATCGGTAAAAAAGAAATAAAAGTTACTTACGCTATTGTTAAGTTATTTAAAATCGTAAAAAACTGACAATAATCTTTGAGAACTCACCTGACATTGGCTAACGAGATGTCAAATTTTAAGTAAGAGAAACAATGCGACTTACAAGCCCTATTACTTGAATAGATGTCTATTGCTCAGCAGCAAGCGTTCATTTGTTTACATGTTTGCTTAAATCAAAATTTAACTTTTGTAACAGGCCAAGCTAACCCCCCCCCCCCCCCCCCCCCAGGTTCCAGAAACGCCAGCATGCCCCACCCCAGCGCCACACACCACTCCTAGACGGCGCACGATGACGCAGCTGGTGCAGAACGCGACGGACGAGCCGTGGATAAAACCGGAGGACCACCCCCACACGGACTCTCTCCGTGACCCCCACTGGAACCTCACGGTCAACGGTTCCCTGATCATGGGTCTGCTGCTGAGGGTGACCTCGGGGAACCAGAGTTCGGTTCCCGTGACGTCACTGGAGCCAGAGGATTACAGCTACGATTACGAGGATTCGGTGTCCAACATTCCCCTGGACGCGCTCATCCCCAACGCCATTGGGTACGGGGTGACCCTCGTGGTGGGACTGACGGGGAACCTCTTGGTGATTATCTCCGTGGCCAGGTGAGTTACAGTTTTTTAGTTAAACAGGGGACTCAACTGTGGTTATTTGAAAGTTTTTTTTAGTTAACCAGGGGACTGAACTGTGGTTGTTTGAAGTTTTTAAGTTAACCAGGGGACTGAACTGTGGTTACTTGAATAGACAGACTCACAAGACTCAAATGCACTGAAAGTTGTGACTGATAGTCGACATGGGGAAGGAAATAAAATATACGAGCTATTTAGTTGTTTTATTTTCTACTTTTCAGTAATTCATAATTTGTGAATTTGACAGTACCAAAGCTGCCACTGAAAATGTTTGCTTTAAAACACTATTAGATGGTCGACACCCTCCTCCTTTCCCCCAACCCAACCAGTTCACCAGACCATGTAGGGGTGGGGGTGGTAGGAAGCGCGCTTACAGCTTGGTGTTTTCTATCGTCTCCAAGAAGAGAATCATATATACAGATTGGTGCTAGAATGACGGTAGACACAATTTTATAAAGACGCCAGATCAAAAGATATCTCCAAACGCATGTTAGATAAAATGCGTCTCCGTATTCTTTTAGTTTTAAAGCAGGTAATTGTATTTCAAAATTGTCTCGAAAAAACATACAAAAATGAACCATTTTTTACCAAAATACTGTCCGACGTTAATAAAGTTAAGCTAAGTCAACAATCAGACCTAAATATATGTTCATATGTTTTTGACCTCGGCATATGAAGAGATTTTGCGTTCGGCACTATGCAAGACCACCCTTATTATTCCTAACGTGAGTCAGGTACCCATCAGAGCTGGGTGGACTCAGTGACCTTCTGCAGTCACGAGTCCGGACCGAGATCGGAAATCAATACCTTCGGTCTAAATATAGGCCCTCGTTTAAAAAATGTAGGCCCTATACTTAAGAAATACTTCTGTATAACTATAAGCCTTTAACATCACATCTTCTACATGACTACAGGTGTATAAACTCTTATATAAACTCAAAGGATCATAAACCTTGCAGTTGAGGTCGCTTTGTGCTCTAGACTATTGCATAATCAGTTTTCTTGTTAAAATTTGAGAACTAATTAAATTAAATTAAGCTTCCTTTAATTAATACGTCGACTCGCTATAACATTCAGAGCTAATTAAAAATTTAGTTAGTCTAGGGAGAGGTCAGGTGACCAGGTACATAATTGCAGTCATCAGACCAAACGTAAGTCGTATAGTATACGTGCATAATTTAAAGCCATACATTAAGAATGGGGAAGAAGGTAATGTCAGAATGAACAAGATATACGATATCGATGATGTCGGGTTTTTTTAAACCCTCAAGAGTGTGATAACTACTTCCTTGTGTGTATATTACACTACCAAGAACACGATAGCTCTAATCAAATTGGTTTTTACATATTTATAATATTATGACGTTTCAGCTAAGGTTACATAGAAATCCATATTTTGAAATGTATTAATATAAAAATAGGATTAGGGGAAAAAATTCGGGTAATTGATATTTTATAAAATTATCATTAAAGTCAAAATGAAATTTAGAGTCCAATTGTAAAAGTTTAATTGCAACTAGAATACCCGTCATCCCTTGGATAACTGTGGGTTTCGGGGGTCATCCATCAAAAAACATCACGTCTGTCACTCAGAGGCATAGCGAGCCTTCCCGGCGCCCGGGGACAAACTTTTCGATTTTAACCCCCCCCCCCCAAGATTTCGATTTTCAACCCCCCCCCCCCCTCAAACTTTTGATGTGCACCCCCTCCCCCCCCCCACTCAAACTTTCGATTTGAACCCCCCTCAACCTTTCAATTTATTTTTCCAAACCATTTTGGCGCCCCAACATACGTCCCCCCGCCCCCCCCCCCCTTTCACCTCCCCCCCGCCTCCCCTTCCCCCCCCCCCCTTCACCTCCCCCCCGCCTCCCCTTCCCCCCCCGCCTCCCCTTTCCCCCCCCCCCCCCCGCCTCCCCTTCCCCCCCCCCCCCCCGCCTCCCCACCCCCCTCCCCCCCCGCCTCCCCACCCCCCCCCCCCCTCCTCGCTACGCTACTGCAGTGTCACTTATCGTCACAAAAACAGAGCCCACATTCAAAAATATGTTTCTTATCTTTTAAAAACACCGAAAACACCGATTTCGGACTATCCCTTCATATACTGACGTCACATGTGACCTACTCAACTCTACTTCACCTGCCCAGTGTCCCGCCAAGTCTCAGACAACATGTTTTTATCGTTTAAAAAACGATTCCAGCCGAGCATGTCTCTGACCACACTATCCTTTCATATGGTTAGGACAAAGAAACAGATGAACTCTACTTCACCTGCCCTGTATCCTGCCAAGTTCAGATAGGCAACTTTATCATTAACATCTAAAAAAAAAAATTGAAAAAAAATATCATTTTTTATCGTTAACATCTAAAAAAAAAAAATTGAAAAAAAAAATATCATTGACATATTGGTCTAGAACCTGTACCACTCGCATGAGAGCGGACTACGCTACAAACTTAGCTATTTACTCGTGACGTCACAAATGAATTTTTATACTATACTTTGATGCAACTTGATTTCGAGCGTCTAGTCTAGAAGTAGTAACTTTCAAATTAAATTTTATCTTAAATTAGCCAAACAAAGATTTATATAAAATAATTAAGGCCTGAAATAGATTCTAGATGTATTAAGGCCTGAAATAGATTCTAGATGTAGAATTTACATTAAGTCTAGATTTAGAATTTACATTGAGTTTAGTGACCTAGATCTAGATCTAGGCTAGATTCATAAATTTCCTTCGACAGCTGATCTTTAGATCTAGAGAAATTTATTGTAAACCTAAATGAAAAAAGACAGTTGAAAATTGATATAAGTGTTGGAACGTAATAAATACAGCAAACGGACGTATTGTTAAAGTTATGACCGACAGAAAATTAGATTTAGAACGCGTTAAACTTTGGAATGGGAACACAATTTTCTTCGATAGACGCCGCCATTTTATTGTACTAAAGAGTCAACAAAAAACTCTGACGTCACTATCAAGGGACGTCACTATCCCCACAAAAGTTTATTCAAAGTATTAACATTTTAAAAAAAATACGGTTAATTTAACAATGAATAAATCAATAAATTAATTAACGTCTTTAAATAAATTTGTGATTAACAGTCTGTCTGCATTAAAAAATTATTCTCTACCTACATACTATTTTACAGCTGTCCCGGTAGAGTCGAACATATCACAATAGTCAATCAGGCAAACAAACAAATAAATATTCAAACATGTAAACAAACTTGACTTTTAGTAGTATATAGATTGATCGCGTTGCTCCTGAATATAACCTAATCTCATTGATATAGCATACATGATTGTGTATAGCATTTCTCGGCCCTGCACTTATTACAATCACTCCATCGATAAAAAAACCTGTTGATCATTACATTATTTGCCATAAATCTAAATTTGTGCTTTTCATGGCCATGTTAATTTGTGTGATTTAAAAGAAAAATCGAGCGTTGTTCAGAAGGTTCGGACGTTATGATCGATTACTTGCCCAAACAAATATGTTTGTCTAAAAACAAAATTTCATTTCCAATCCGCGAACGGACCCACTGAAATGTAGTTTAAAAATAAACATTTCTTGTTACCTACGCATGTGTTAAAATATTCCAAAAATATTTATCGAAGCTTCGTGAATTCATTCGGAACGGTGTGGTTCAGCGGTAGAGTACACGAATACCCGCAAGTTCAAGGTCCACAGGCTGTAGGCTATCTCTGAATCCACTGAACCGTGAATACACCCGACTCATGTTGGGTAAAGACGGCTGGGAATAGTGCTAACAAAACAAAGCTTCGTATGGCGAGTTCAGATTATTATTTGAACTCTACTTTATCTGTCCAAGATCCATTTGTCTTAAAGAAAAGTTAACTAACTGATATATAATGCTACCAGAATAGAAGCTATATATACTTTAGTATTCGAACAACGGTCGATCAATTGATTACAGTTAAAAGCATTTCGAAAGCGAATCGACATTTACACAGTTAACTTTGTCTGCCTTGAATAGATATCAAATGTGAAGATATAGTGAGATGTGTAAGCACTGTATTTTTTTTTAAAATAATTCTTTTTCTTCTGAGTGTCCATGTTATAGTTACATGAGTGTTTAGTATATCGGTGTTGAATATTATAAGTATTCTATGTAAGCGCTGTGTTTTTAAAACGTTTATTATTGCTTTGTTTGTAGAACGGCGTGGTCGGATGGTAGAGCTAACGAGTTAACCCCAAAGTCTTAAGTTCGATCCCGGGCTCGAGTCTGTAGAACTTTCCTGAGTCCACCCAGCTGTTATGAGTACCTGACCCACGTTAGGTAAACTAATTCAGCTATGCAAAACATTTACCACACTACCGCTCTGTATGCCGAAGTCACTGAAACAGATGAACTCTACTTCATCTACCTCATGAATCTTGGACACGACGAGAAAAGACGACGACGATTGTACATTTTGTGTCATATAACACAAACCTTCATTGTTACAATGTTAGTTATAGTCTTCCCCCAATCTTTAATGAATAGTTTTCTCCCTCTGAGAACAACAACACACGCGTGAAGTAAAGAAAAAAAAAACACCATTTGAAGAACAAAGACGAGTTGAGATTGCAATACTGCTGCTCCCACGCTTAATAAAAACAAGAATAAAAGAAAACTTGTAAATTGCCAATATTGAAAAAAACGTAATCCTCGTCCTCGTTTTCATCAAAATATGATGAAATTTTAATAGCTGCGCGCGATAATTATTCACATTAAAAAATAATTTCTGTGACATTCGGCGATGGGTTTATGATGTAGAAAAAGATAAAAATGTGAACAGACTCTAGGCGGAAATACATCTTTGGCAATAAAAAAAGAAAGTTCATGAACGACAATATTAAGTCCGAAGCCCAAGGCTTCATGAGTATTTGATTGGCTAAGCGTCCCTGGTAACGAGTGCACACGCTTGCAAACAACAACACCTTAAGGACGTGTTGAGGAACTTTTATATTTA